GACACACACACACACACACACACACACACACACACACACACACACACACACACACACGAGTCTTACTCAGACATGCCATTCACTCCCACATCTACATCCACACATCTCTCTCACCGCATCACACACACACACACATGCGCACGCACTCACTCATTCACTGATGTCCTCAGGCACACAACACGGAGCACGATCCGCCGTATTGGCGCGGGGCGATCTGGATCAACCTCAACTTCTTGACCACGCGCGCGCTCCGATTTTACGGCCAGACGGCAGGACCCCACCGCGAACGCGCCCAGGAGGTGCGTATGTCTTGGATTTGGGAGAAAGGGCGTGTCTGCTGCCGTGTTTGCTGATGTGAAGCAGTTCCACAGTCAAGTAGTCTCATCTTTGGTTTGACCACGTTCACACTTCACACACACATGACACATACACACGCACTTCACGCGCGACACGCACACTTCACACACGTACACACACACACACACACTCACACTCACACTCACACACACACACACTCACACACACTCACACACACACACAAAACACGCAGCTGTACACAAAGCTGCGCGGTAACCTGATCAACAACATCTTCCAGCAGTACCAACGCACAGGATTCATCTGGGAGCAGGTAAATTTCACTACTGACAACTGCAGCGTGCTTGGAGCGTGTCACTTGCGTCAGCGTGCGCGTAGGTATGTGTGCCCACAACTGCGCGTGGATTGGTTGGCTTTTGATTTTCTCCCTCATCTTGTCTGCCCCACCATGTCTTGCTGCGTGTGCAGTATGATGACCGCACGGGATCCGGCAAGGGCACACACCCGTTTACCGGCTGGTCTGCGCTCGTCGTCCTTCTCATGGGCGAGCTGTACTGATTGGCATTGTCAAGTGCAATGATGACAAACACATCCATGTGCTCGTGCTGACTCTGGCGGGGCTTTTTTACTCATGGGTTTGCGTGTTAACCCGATAAACAAGACCTCTGGTAACACCATCAATGACACCCAACGAATGCATGTATCAACGACAACCAATGCACTCGTTCCACTCACACCCACACCCACCCACCCCCCCCCCAACCACACACACACACACACACACACACACACACACACACACACACACACACACAGTACCAACACCGATTATGGTGTCTAATCGCGATTATAGAATTGATGCTTGCGGGCTCGCAGCAGAACATTTGCACACAAATGAATGAATGAAGTACATGTAGTGGGGGGTCAATCAAACCGCACCCAACCACGGCAATAAGAAGATAAACTCACGACGGAAACATGTCAACACACACACACACACACACACACACACACATGCCGGCGTGTTTCTTACACGTCCGTCCAAAGCTCGTCCTCAGACCCAGCGCCTGCATGTGCAAAATCAGGGGATGCGCAATGCTTGAGCTTGGGCGAGAATTCGAGCTTGTGCGCGGGAAGGGAGACAGACATGACACGAGAATCAAGTACTGGCACAGCACAAATGCCAATAACATATTCATGATCACGCAAGCACGGACATATACAGGCATAGATACACACACATATGCACGCGCACACACGAGCACACACACACACACACACACACACACACACACACACACACACACACACACACACACACGCATACAGACAGCATACGTGACCGGACCTTCGAGCATGCTGACGCGGGCCTGAAAGTCTGTGCTGTGCTTGAGAGCCTGCTGCACGCTCTCATCAAAGTGCAGACTCGCCGACGCCATATCTGACAGCGCCGCCGCTGTGTTGGCGTCCATGGCGCTGTCCATGGGCGCTGGCGTTGCGCTTGGACTTGTCGGCACAGTTGTAGGTTCTGTTGTTGTCGATGACGCGGAGACTGGCGGCGTGGCATACGAATCCTCTCCTGCTGCAGACCTGTGCGTGCTGCTGTTATTGCTGTGGGGTTGCTTCCGCCCGTGTGGCTGTTTGCCATTGCCATCATTGGCGCGGCTGCGGGTCGTGCTGCGTTCAGCACTGTCTGCTTGCCCTCCAAACCGCAGCGGTGCAGAATCAGACGATTTCAGCAGCGCGTTGCCCTGTCGTGTCGTTGCTCCTTCCACATCACCTTCGTCAGAGTCATTTTGCCGCACACGCCTCCGCGGTTCCCGTTGCTGTTGCTGCATGCTGGCTGCTGGCTGCGACGTCGACAGCACATCCTGGGCGTACATGTCCTGCTCTGTGCTGCTCTGCCGCCATGCCGAGCCAATTAGTGCCGTCGTCGCAGCGTCGTCCACGGAGAGCGACCGCCGGGCAGCGCGGATGGCTGTGTCGTATTGCGGCGGCGTGCGGCGCGCCATCCCGAGCGCGTCCACCTCCATGTTGTGGATGCTCGAGCGAAGCGACGCAACCAGCCGCTCAACGTCGCTCACGTGCACACCGCGGGACCGCGATTTGGAGCTCAGGCGGATCAGCCGCGTCACAAGCCGGCTCGGCTGCACGGTGTACATGCCCGCGTGCGTGTGGGTGAACGGTTGTGAATGGTTGTGGGTGAGTTCGTGTGTGTTGTGGGCATGCGTGTGCGTGTTGTGTAACGACGAACATGGGCGCAAGTGCGTGTGTTGTTGTGAAGGGCATGGGATGGTCTGTGGGCGTGGAAACGGTGTATGATGCCTCGTACAAGCGTGTTGTTCACAGATAAACCCCGCCACACAGGAGACTGCTCTTGCATCCACGCAAACATGCACGTATGCACGCACCATGGTGAAAATGAGAGCCGGACAGAGGGAGACGAGAGTCCATGTCTTTGAGTAGCACGGCATGAAGGACGCGCCGCTGCCCACAGAAAAGACCTGGACGAGGAAGCACGTGAGTGCGCAAGATCAGCTCGTGTCGCATTTGACTTGCGTCAAGTGGCACAGCGTCACATCATACACAAACCGAAAGAACATAAGGAAATGTGCACGTCTGCACGTCTGCACCCACACACCCACGCACACTCCCACACCCACACCCACTCCCTCTCCACATACCCACCCACCCACCCACCCACACACACACACACACACACACACACACACACACACACACACACACGCGCACGGGACATGCTCTCGCGTGAAAACGCACCTTCTCTCCAAAATCCATGATGTTGTGATTGGAGGTGGCGTTGGGGTTGTGAGACTCCCTCAAGTACACCTGACAATGGCCACTGATGTCCCATCATCACAAATACACACACACACATACACACACAGAGGAAAGGCTGGTCAGCACTGATGCGTCGGGTAAAGCGCGGTGTACAGCAGGGATAGGCGCCACATGTATCAGCAGCACTGAAGCCACGTGAACAATGAGCACTGGACACGTACTGGACGAGGAGGTGGAATTCGTCGCTCGATGAGACGTTGATGGTGCGATTCGCCCCATACTGTCAGACAAACACAAACACGAACACCAAGCAACAACATCGACATGCAATGGATTCCGTGTGCATGAGATGTGAGTCGTGGCACGCTGTACCGTCAAGGAAGCAAACGTGGTCCAACATAGCCAATACATGACAGAGCGCACGCACTTGCAACAGACTATGCACGTACACAAACGCCAACGGCTTTGCAGAACGTTCTTGCAATCCGCTGCGTGCTGGTGTCACCGCAATACGTTACCTGCTGTCGCGTGCCGTATTCTGCAAGCACGCGTAGAGCCTCCCATGACGTGTCTTGAAAGCCCGGAATGGTCTGCAGCACACGCATGACCATCAGCAGCGAGTCTTCTTTGCACAGTAGCAAGTTGGCGTTTTCCTCCTGCACATGCAATAAGCGGCAAGGCAGAGGAACGTGAGGGGGGGGGGGGTGTTGCGAAACAGACGCCACAGTGGGGGCGGAGCATCATCGATCAACAGCCGCAAACGCACGGCGTGACTCTCTCCACACACTCGCACACACACACACACACACACACACACAAACACAAACAAACAAACACACACACACACACACACACGCACGCGTGGACAGCATTGCCAGGATATCAGCGCATGAAGAGTATGTCTATCTGCCGACAACAATCGCAAGGGGGAAAGCTTCACGGTCACAGTCACCGAAACTGCGGCGTTTGTTGGCCAATTCATTGCCTCGTACCCGCGCAATGTCGCCGACCATGTTGAGGGTGAAGTTGTCCTCCAAGTTGACGTCGGAGAAACCTTGCAGGTCGCGACGAAGCTGCGCATTCTCCTTCTGCAGTCAGTTATAGAATGCAAAACAGACAACACCAGCGTGAGCGAGTTTCGAGACGCGCGCTCGAAAATGCACAAGTGTATCGCCTCAAGCTAACTTTATGCACAACTGTACATGTACTCACTCGCTGACGCACACTCCCGCACGGACGGCCACACACACACACACACACACACACACACTCACTCACTCACACTCACACACATGTAACCACACATCACGTACAAACACGCACGCACACACACACACGCACATCACACACCTGCCGCACGTATCACACATCACACACTCACGCACACGTCAAACATCACGTCACACACGCACCTGCAACGCTGCAATTTCGGCCTGCAGAGCAAGCATCTGGTCCATTGTGTCTGGTTTCTGCTCAGCACTGCCACCAGGCACTTGGTGAACAGCAGAGGGCTTGCGCGACGGCGTTGGGCTCACGCCGGGACTGGGCAGGCTGCTGACGCTGCCGATGGTGGCCACAGACTGCCGGAGCGATGGCGCTGTGCGTGTCGGGGTGTGCAGCAGATCAACAGAGCTGCCCATTGCAGAGAAGCTGGTGCGGGTTGACGGGCTGTCGCCGCGCTCACTCGCTGTCCCAACAGAGGCGGCGGCGGTGGCGGGGCGGGTGGCCGCAGGCGTGGACGCGGCGGTGGTGGCCATGTAGGCCTGCAGCAGAATGTGGGCGAGATCCGACTTGTCCACAGCTTGATCACGGTTGATGTCCGCCGTCTCAAAGGGAGGTAGGGAGGGCATCAACAGAGAGCGGGCACGGGCGTACTGTTGTTCCGAGAAGCCGTGATCCGGAACAGGAGATACGCGCTCAAGCAGGTCACCCGATGATGCACGCAGTGGGGAGCCAGCGCGAACACGGCCTTCCCCCTCCAGTACGCGTGCACGCGCATCCAGGGAGATGCTACTGCGCAGCCGCTGTTTGGGACTCGCCGGCATCGACGACACGCTCGCGGTATCCGCATCGCCCTGCGCACAACCATCAACGCCATCGCCTTCGCCGTCGGAAGCGCTATGGGCTGCAGTGTTGGCGGTGTGGTCGCGGTGCATGTTGTGCTGATCGTACTGATCGTGCTGGTGGTCTGCCGGCTCCGGGCCCTGCAGGGAAATGACAGGGACGTCCTCCTGTACAGATGGCGGCGCATCAGCGGACGCAAGCAAGCTCGAGGAAGAGGTGGCGGTGGAGCGAAGCGGGCGCATATCGACCATCGCCGACGTCGACTGGGCGCGCCTCGGGGTGGAGGCAATCTTGGTGCCGTTGGTGGACAGAACCAGCTGCCGATCCAGCGCCATCAAGATATCACATGCAAGCTCCTCAAACTGCAGCGTGTCAGGCCGTGTGGGAGAGGACAGGCATGCATGAGTGGATGTAGCTCTCAGCATGTAAAACGCATGTGTGGTACACAAATTCTCGAGCGCGTGCACACACACACACACACACACACACACACACACACACACACATACACATGACCGCCACCAGGGCTGCGGCTGAGCGACATCCCTTAGCAGCAACAAGTTTGATAGAGACGTAAATGCCCTTCCCCTTCACCTCACCTTGGCTGCAATGACGCCTGTGACATTTGCGAGGCCGAGCGAGTGGAGATCAGTGAGCAGTGTTGACGCAGCAGACGCCTCTGCCGCAGATGTTGACTCCCGCTGCTGGCTCGAATCCCGATCTGAAAACACACACACACACACGTGGGTGCAGCGGCGATGAGGCGAAACACGAGCGTGAGCGGCATGTTGGTGAGAAGAAGGCAACAAACACAAGACAGGAGACATGCCACGACTGCAAACGCAGGTGCGATCACAGTCAAAGCAGAGAGGCAAATAAGGAGGAGGAGGGGGAGAAGGAGGAGGAGGAGGAGGAGGAGGAGGAAGAGGAAGAAGAAGAAGAAGAAGAAGAAGAGGAGAGCAACAACAACAACAACAACAACAACAACAACAACAACAACAACAACAACAACAACAACAACAACAACAACAACAACAACAACAACAACAACAACAACAACAACAACAACAACAACAACAACAACAACAACAACAAACGCACATTGCTGCTCGCCGAGGCGGCGTGTGCGGCGGAAGTTTGAAAGGCGGGAGCGACCGCGTGTTCGGGGGCGAGCGCTGTCCGCTGTTGAACGTCGCAGCCACGCAGGTTTGATAGTGGATGGGCAGAACGGAAACAAGATACACGTGAGCGCAGACATCGTTGTTCATGTTAATACGTGCATGAGAGTGGGCGAGTAAGTGAGTGGGTGAGTGAGTGCGTGGGTGTGCATGTGTGCATGTGTGCATGTGGGGCGATTGCCTTTTGTGCCGTTCAAACAAAGGCTCGACTAGCAAGGGGGTCGTAGACACGCGTGCATTCGCTACCTCTCGTCGTCTCTGGTGTTGAAGCAGCTGTTGATGACGGTGTGGGCGGCTTGCGTGGTTCACACGTGAGCGAGCGCTCATAGAGATGGTTGTCTGAGGCCTGGCTGTCTTGTTGCTGCTGCAACGTGTGCTTGAGGCTGATGAGCAGCGGGATGTCAACTTGCACCTTGGGGACATGTGCCTACAATGTGCAAAGCGCAGGCGTGTGAGTAGTTAGGATGATAGGTATGGTTAGTGAGTGATGGTGAGTGATGGCGAGTGATGGTGAGTGGTGGCGTGGGAGGGGGTCATGGTGAGTTGTGAATTTGATGACGGCGATCGTGGTGGTGGTTTTGCACCTTTCGAACGAGGACGTCAACGCACGAAGCCAGTGAATACAGCTTGTGCACATCCACGCCACCGGCCTTGTCAATCGTCTGTGTGAAGGGGGGGGGGGAGAGGATGAGCGTGCGCGTACATGATCGTGTGCGTGATTGCATGTTGCTTTTAGGACCAAGCATGCCGGGAGATACAAATGCGATGAGGGGTGCAGACAAGACAGGCAGGCAGAGAGGGGGACAGAGCGAGAGAGCGAGAGAGGGAGAGAGGGGATGGGAGGGGAGAGAGGGGAGAGAGGGGGGAGGGGGAAGGACAGAGATACACACACACGCACACACGCACTTGCAAGCACACGCGTACGCACATACACACGCACATGCACGTACTACAATGTACACGGCACCTTTGCTTTGTGCTCGATGGACATGGCGTCCTTGAGCAGGACGGCAATGTACGGAATAAATGGAATCCCCAGCGATGACACCTGAAACATTCAACCAGTTGGGCACGTTGGCGTGAATACGAGATGCGACACGTGTATGTGTGTGTGTGTGTGCATTTGTGTGTGTTTGTTGCATCTGTGTTCGCAATTGACAAGCCCAGTGATCACAGGGCATGCGACTCTTCAGAGGTGCGAGACGACGGTGAGGTGGGGCACCTTGTTCATGAGTTTCCGGTACTGCTCGTGGTTGTTGAGGGGCGAGAGGAGCGAGTCCAGGGATTGCAGGTCGCGGGAGATGTGTTTCGGCAAGCTGGCAAACGAGTGCTTGAGGCGGCCAACAGCGGCGTGGCTGAATGCGCCGTGGATCGACATCAGCGAGCTAAAGTTCTTCAGTGACTTCAGGTGCTGTTGCCGGGAGGGAAGAGGGGTGTGCGTGAATTTGTGTGTGTGTGTGTGTGTGAGTGAGTGAGTGTGTGTGTGTGTGTGTGTGTGTGTGTGTGTGTGTGTGTGTGGCATGAGGAATGTGGGAAAAATAAGGAGCCCAGGTCAGTCTCGACTCGAACATGCACGACAGCCATGGCTCGTACCATGCACAATTCAACAATGGCAGCGATGGTCTCTGCGCGGTCCTCAGTGGTTTTTCCCTGCAGATCGGAAAACGCATGGTGAGCAGACGTGAGCATGCACACGCACGCGCGTGCTGCGGGAACGAACAGCTGTGGAGCACGGTGGTGTTCAACATCAGGCTTTGGAAAAAAATAGCACAAGTTCGGGCACCTGAAGCACTTGGGAGACGGCCCACATGCGGAGGCGGTTGCCGAGATCAATCACATGTGAGATGCGGGACGCATGCAGAGCGCCATCATCGTCACTGCTTCCACGCTTGCTGTCCCGCGTCTGGTGGTTGGTTGGTGGCGGCAACAATGGTGGTGGGGCGGTGGTGAGTGGGTGAAGTGGCATCATTCCCAAGTGCTGGTGCGAGCTGTGCACTACTCACGCGTGCATGCATGCTCAGACAGCGAATCACAAGGTGTTGTGCACTCACCTGCGAGTTGACGTCGTGCGGGGTGATGCGAGAAAATGCATCCCACTCCAACGCCGTGATCTGATGCGCCAGCGTTTTCAGCTGTTCCCCACTCACCGTCCTGCCAGCCACGAAGGGTGAGAGCAATACACCAGCGCAGGGTGCAACCAGAACACGTGAGCACAAGAAACAAGCAAAGGAACACACACACACACATACACATACACACACATACACATACACACACACGCACACACACACACACATACACACACGCACACACATGCACACACATGCACACACACACACACACCTGACAAGTGGGTTTCCGAATTTCGCCTTTGGATGGAGGGAGAGGGTTGGCGTGACGTTGGCGCCGGGAGAATGGGTTGGTGGACACAGCGGAATCCTGGATGTAGCAACCATGATGCAAGCACAGAACGCCACATGGATAAGGGTCACATTATGAAAGCCTCAGAACATGGCGGCAGGCAGATGAGGATGAAGCAAAGCGAGCGCGCAAACACCACGGCACATTCAAGCTGACGAACGTGTTTTCTTCCATGGATTGCACGACGGCGTTTGAGAGCGCATCCAGCCCATATGGGGTGAGAATCTGCGACCGCGATGATGAGGAGAAAAATCACAGCGAAGAGGATGAGTGATCATTATATGCTGGCTGGTGCTTGCGGCGTGTACTTGACCTTGAACTCACACCCACACATGCTCACAGGCACAGACGCATTGCAGCCAGAGGCGCGCAAGTATACGCACACACATACATACATCCACATACACGCACACATGCACACATGCACACACACACACACACACACAAAATATACAGGTGCACACCTCGTCCTTCTTGAGGGTGCTCTGGAGCTGGAGAAAGGCCCCGTAGAGGGACTGGTCTGCAAAGTCGCTGGAAAGCGTCGCCCAGCACCTGCGTTTGTTCATTAATGCAGTGCAAGCGCAGCGCAAGGCAGGCCGGTCGAGGCATTAGCAGAGAATGAGTGGGTGAACACCTTCACTGCATGGTTCAGGGCCGTGGCAGTGTGGTGCTAGATGGCGAGAGGGTGACAAGCACAGAAGTCGTGTACGTGTGTGTGTGTGTGTACCTTATGAAGCGGCAGATGGCCTGTTTCCATGCGCTGCGGGCGGCACCATTGGCCCAGGACTTGAACCGCGGGAACAGCAGGGAATCGGGCGGTGTGTCTGGAAGCTGGGCACACCACACAACCAGGGGCACGCGGGTGGTGAGTCATGTATTCACGTAAGCACGATGCAACAAGTGTGTGCGTGTGCGTGTGCGAGTGTTTGATTGTGGTGTATGTTGAGTTGCGTATTTGTGTTTGTGTGTGTGTATGTGTGTACGTGTATTTGTTTGGAGGTGTGCATGTGTATTTGTGTGCACGTGTACGTGTGCTCGGGTGTGTGCGATGGTGGTGGTTGGCGAGATGTGCACCGAGTAGAATGCCGTGATGAGGTTGAAAAAGTCCAAGGGTGTCGTCCACCAGCGCATCGTTGCCACCAGCATCGTTCCAAACTCCAGCTGCGTTTCCTTCCATGCAGGCACTAGCGTGTCCATGTGTGCGTCGTTCCCAATGATACGCGAGACCTCGGCACACTCCGCAGATGACAGCTGCATGCGCATGCATGGCATGTGCACGTGTGCGCGTGTGAATAAAGGAAGGGTGTTTGTTCGTGTCGGTGTGAGCGTTTGAGTGTGTGTGTGTGTGTGTTGGTAAGAACAAACGTGCCCCATTGCTGCTCTGCAGCTCAGAGTTGCACGCACAACTAAGGAGGACATTCCCTGCCAGCCCCCAGGTGTCAACAAACCTGGGCCTTGCCGACATAGCGCTGGAGAGCGTCGCGGACGGTGCCGGAGAGGGAGACGGGCTTACAGCCCAGCTCATCTTTGGTGTTTGAGGAAGCAGGGTGCGCAGAGGCCGAGGGTGGACTGCCCACGCCAAGGTCGCTTCGAGAGCGCATTGACTTGATGATGCGCATCCCCTTTCGCAGCGTGGATGTGCGACGCTCTCTCTGCACACTTGGGCTTGTCACCAGCAGCCGCAAGTTTGGCTCTTCGTCTGCAAGTGATACGCAAGCGAAACATACAAATGAGAAACAGGGCGGGGGCAATATGCGCGCGACCAATCCCGGGACGGTTACGCCGGCGATGCAAGCGATCCGTACATCCATGCAGACAAACACATTATCCGCACACACACACACACACATACTCACGAAGACAACCGGTGTTTGCCCTCACACATCCATGCAGACAAAGCGTTCAACCACACACAGACACAGACACAGACAGACAGACAGACAGACAGACAGACAGACACACATACACACATACACACATACACACAAGCACACACAGCCACACACACACACACACACACACACACAGAACACACGAACCAAAGTGAGCAATGGCCAGTGCAGCGATGGCTGGTGGGGGAAGGGTGCATAGCCCTTCGCGCCAGCGAAGAATGCCCGGCACCTGAGCCTCTGTCCAAAGACCACCACCGCTGTCCATGTTGCTGGAGGTGTGGGGCTTGTTGCCTCCTAGCCGACTTGGTTGGGTCCCAGCAGGAGTTCAATCGTTGAACGGCGTGTGGGATGCAGCGATGCAATGATGCAGTGATCTATTGTGTGGTATGATGTGTAGTGTGGTATGATGTGTAGTGTGGTATGATGTGTTTGTGTGGTGATGTGGTGATGTGGTGATGCGGTGATGCAGTGATGCACTCACTCACAGACACAGAGCTGGGCCGACGAGTCAAATGAATCACACGCCGTCACAGTCTCTGCGCTATCCTTGCCACCGGCACCTCTGGGTGCAACAGCAGCAGCAGCAGCAGCAGCAGCAGCAGCGGCGGCGGCGGCGGCAGCAGCAGTATTAGCAGCAGCAGCAGGGCACAGTCAGCCACCAGTCACTTGTTTTCGCAATCAATCAGCGTTGCTGATGCCTGTCGCGCATACAAAAGCACTGGACCAAGCCTTGAATGACGATTGTGTGTTCTTCTTGGCCAAGCTGCGAGGAGTATTGTTTGCTTGTTTGCTTCCTTGGTTGCTTGCTGTTCTGAAACGTGGAAGAAAATGGGCAATTGACGCAGGTGCTGCTGGCGCGTGTTGCTGGTGGTGCCGGAGAGGGGCAAGCCCGCCAAACGAACAAGCACGCAATAAGCGGATCGTAGCGGCGTCGGAACGTTCGCTTTCTCCTGCTTGTTGTCTTGCTGCTTTTTCTTCCTTCAGGGCGGACACGCATCAACCAACCACGCTGGCTGTTGTTTTGTTTGCCTTGTTGCTTGTTGCTGTCTTTCTTCGCGTTTGCTGTGCAGGTGTTGCTGCGCTCCGTCCGCCGTCGCAAGGAAGTGGCGATTTGGAGAATCGTGCGAAATCTTCACAAATGTTCGTTGCCACCAAATTCTCAGCCAGAAGGAAGAAGTGAAGGCAGCGACACTTCGCAACGCCACCACCACAACTGCCACCAACCTGAAGTGAAGAAGACACTCACTCGCCCTGCAAAGCTTTGTTCTCTGCTCCCCACGTCGCGTCTTGGTGAGAAAGATGTATGGGAGAGGGAAGAGGGGTTATTGAGGGAGTGTGTTGTGTCTTGATCTTGGGTTTTGTGTGGTTGTTTGTGTTGTGACGTGATGTTGTGACGTGACATGATGTGACTGTGTTTGTTTGATTGATGTGATTGTTTTTTTTTTTGTGTGGGGGTTCATCGCATCACGTATTGGTGGTGGTTGGCGGCGATGATGTGGTTGGTTGTCAATGCCAGATCGTTCAAGTGTCAGGTCAAGTGACAGTGCGACCTGCTCGTTTGGGTTTCGTGTGCACTTGCATGACTTTTTTTTTTCTCTCTCCAGTTGACAACCAACAAACTGCACTTGTTTTTCCTTTCTGGCTTGCTTGTCTTTCAACTCTCTCACGCAATTCAACACGCACACGTACATCCATCTGCACACCTATTCGCACCCTTTCACGCATCCACACACATACCCACACCCACACACACACACACACCATCTTCACACCCATTCCCACTCACCTATTTACAAACACACACACACACGCACACACACACATCTACGTACATACCATCTTCACACCCATTACCACTCACCCATTCACAAACACACACACACGCACACACACACACGCACACACACCCATATCTACGTACATACGCACGTATAGACGCACCACACACCACAAAACAACACGTTCACCCGCAGGTCTTGAGAGGATGGGGGAAGAGAGTGTGCGGGTGGTGGTGCGCTGCCGCCCACTGAACAAGCGCGAGAAGGGCCTCAACTGTGCGGTCGTGGTGGACATCTTCACAGAGGCCGGCCAGGTGCACCTGAAGAAACCCAACGCAGGCAAGGATGAGCCGCCCAAGAAGTTCACCTTTGACGGCGCGTACGGCATCGACTCCAACACCAAGATGATCTACGAGGACGTCGGCTTCCCGCTCATCGAATCCGTGCTCGAGGGCTACAACGGCACGGTGTTCGCCTACGGCCAGACCGGCTGCGGCAAGTCCTTCACCATGGAGGGCATCCCGGATCCGCCCGAGCACCGCGGAATCACGCCCCGCTCCTTCGAGCACATCTTCCAGGAGGTGGCCGTGCGGGAGAACACCAAGTTCCTCGTGCGCGCGTCGTACCTCGAGATCTACAACGAGACCATCCGCGACCTGCTCTCCTCAGACCAGGCGCAGACGCTCGACCTCAAGGAGCACCCGGACAGGGGCGTCTACGTCAAGGGCCTCACAGAACACGTCGTGCACGATGCGCAGGAGGTGCTGCGCGTCATGGCCAAGGGCAGCAAGAACAGGTCCGTCGGCGCCACCCTCATGAACGCAGACTCGTCCCGCTCCCACTCCATCTTCACCGTGTGGATTGAGGCTGCAGAGTCCATCGAGGACGGCAGCGAGACCATCCGCGCGTCAAAGCTCAACCTGGTTGACCTGGCCGGCTCCGAGCGGCAGGGCAAGACCGGCGCCACGGGCGACCGCCTCAAGGAGGCCACAAAAATCAACCTCTCCCTCTCTGCGCTCGGTAACGTCATCTCCGCCCTCGTCGACGGCAAGGCAAAGCACATCCCGTACCGCGACTCCAAGCTCACCCGCCTCCTGCAGGACTCCCTGGGCGGCAACACCAAGACGCTCATGGTGGCCGCGCTGTCGCCGGCCGACAACAACTACGACGAGACGCTCTCCACGCTGCGCTACGCCAACCGCGCCAAGAACATCAAGAACAAGGCCATCATCAACGAGGACCCGAAGGACGCCCTCATCAGGCAGTACCAGGAGGAGATTGAGAAGCTCAAGACGCTGCTCACCCAGCAGGGCAGCATCGACCCATCAATGCTTGCCAACCTCTTCAACGCAGCAGGCAACGGCGCATCCTCTGCAGCGGCAACGCACAAGACCGTGTCGCCGTCCAAGCAGGCGCCCGCAGCACCGGCGCAGCAGGAGCTGTCGGCGCAGGAGAGGGCGGCGCTTGAGGAGCGCATCAGGAAGGAGAAGGAGCAGGAGCTTGCGGCTATGGAGGACAAGCTGAAGAGCGAGTACGACACCAAGCTCGCCGACCTGGAGAAGGCCGTGGAGGACCAGCGCATGACAAACGAGAAGCTGGAGCAGGAGTTTGAGCGGCTCACCAACGAGTACAACGTCAAGCGCGACCAGGCCCGCAGCACCATGGAGGACGACATTGAGCGCAACGTGCAGAGCGAGGTGGCGGTGCGCGAAGGAAAGGCTGCGGGCGCCCCGAGCACGGTTGTTGCCGGCGCTGCTGCTGATGATGATGATGGCACTGGCAGCGTCACGGGCACGACGGACACCAGCATCCCACCGGGCAGCCTGCTGGACACCATGCCGAGCCCCGCGCCAGGGTCTGCCCCTCAGTTGCTGGTGGAGGACAGCGACAAGGAGTTTGAGGTCATCCCGCACACATATGTCGTCGTGGACAGCAACGGCGAGCAGGCGTTTGCGGTGCGCCAGGCGGGCAGCCAGGAGCTGTACCGCGCAGAGGCGTCGAGCGACGGCCACCTGCACCCGGTCTTTGATGCAAAGGACCGGCCCATGCGGCTCAAGGGCGCGCGCATCGCCGTGTACAAGGAGGTTGGACGCGTTGACCAGCACCCCGTGCAGGCGGTCGCCGCCATCGTCGGCGCGGGGGACGGCGCCGTTGTTCCCGCGCTGCTCGGGCCGGAGGACAACCAGCCCGTGCGGGCAGCGGTGGACCGGCTGGGCTGCCTCACCCTCTTCCTCGACGACGACGACGAGCCAGAGCCTATCCTTACCGCAGAGGGCATGCCCGTGCCCTACGTGCCGCTGCAGGAGCGCTGTGTCGTTGTGCAGGGCAAGGAGGGCGAGCCAGAGGTGGCGCACGTGACGAGCGAGGGTGTGCCGGTGAAGTGCGCGGTGGTTGACGGGCAGCTGCAGCCGCTCAAGGGCAGCGACGGGCAGCACACGGTGCTCGTCGGGCCGGATGGGCTGGCCGCCATCCCTGTCGTGTGTGCTGGCAGCGGTAACGCAGCCGCCAGCGGTGAGGCCGCCACCAAGGGCCTGGACATGCAGGTGCGGGCAGTGCGGACGGGCGACGGAAAGGTGCTGCCGTGCGTGCTGTCCAGCGATGGTGTCCCGCTCAAGGCGCAGCTGGTCAAGAAGAATGTGTTTGCGCCGCTGCGTGACGAGAACCACACGTATGTGCGGGTGAGCGCTGATCGCAGCACGGTGCATCTGGCAACTGCGGACTCGAGTGTCGTGCGCATGGCGCCGTCGCAGCCAAAGGTGCTTCGTGAACAGCAGAAGCAAGGCCAGCAGCAACAGCAAGGGCAGCAGCAGCAACAGCAACGACCATCCGCTCAGGGCGCGCAGAAGCCAATCGGTGCGTGCGCTTGAGTACAAGCATGCGTGTGCATGTGTGTGCGTGTGTCGGGGCTTGGGGTTGCGTGCGCTTGAGTGCATGCAAGTGTTACGTTTTGTTTGTGCGCGCGCATGTGTGTGTGTCTTGCAGTTGGCGGCCTCTCCTTGCGCTTCGCCCCCCTTCCCCCAAAACACATCTGCAGCCTCCAGGACCCAAGTTTCACACACACACACACACACACACACACACACACACACACACACACACACACACACACACACACACACACACACACACACACACACACACATCAACTCACTGCGTCGTGTGTTCAGACATTGCTTCGTTGGGACTGAGCGACCTTGAGGGCAACCCGTTGGTTGCAGCACTCAAGTCGAAGCTCGCCTCCTTTGAGCAGAACCTGGTCAAGGGTGGCAAGGGCGCTGGGGACGACAAGTTGAAGGAAGGGCTGAAGAAGCGCCGCAAGCGCGCAGAGGAGCGGCGGCGCCGTATTCGAGAGGCCATTGAGAACGCAGAGGGCGAAGACATTCTCGAGGACATCTACGACAACCTGCAGGTATGTGTTTGTGTGTTTGTGTGTGGTTGCGTGTGTGTGCGTGTGTGTGCGCGCGCGCGCGCGTGTGTGTGTGTGCTTATGTTTTGGTACGTCCAAGACCAGTGCGTTTGTTCAAGACACCCATCTCATGTGACTCCGCGTTACTCTGTGGCTGTTAGGATGAGATCAAGGGCAAGCGGAAGCAGCTCTCGAAGGCAAAAGACATTATCAAGAGCCTCAAGCAGGAAATTGAGGACATTCAGGTCAGTTCTGCCTCATGGTGTGATGGGCAATGCTCTGTATGCGTGCGTGCGTGTGCGTGCGTGTGTGTGTGTGCGTGGGTGTGGGTGCATGCACGTGTGTGTGCGTGGTAGTCTCTCTCCCGCCCTCTGTGCAGAGCGAGAATTCCAGCTGACCATTCTTGTTTTCTTTGGTGTGTGGGCTGTGTTGACATGTGGGTCAGACGGAGTTTGCACGCGAGCGCGAGTCGCTGCTGAACGACATCCGCCGGTCAGAACAGGAGCGCAAGTTCTACAGCCAATACGTCGACCGCGTCCTCCCAGTCATCAGGTGTGTGTGTGTGTGTGTGTGTGTGTGTGTGTGTGTGTGTGTGTGTGTGTGTGTGTGTGTGTTGGCCACTTGCGTGTACACCTCGGTCCCTGCTGCTGGCTTATTTCCCATGGATTGCGCGGCTTTCTGCGTCCCTGCAACGTCGCCGCTCCAGACAAGACTGCAACTACGCGAACCTGACCAAGATCCGCGCAGCCTCTGTTTGGAACGAGGAGGCAGACCGCTGGATGATGCCCAAACTCACACGCCAGCGAGCACAGCTGCCAACAGGGTGCGTGCGTATGTGTGTGTGTGTGTGTGTGCGCGCCAACGTCGTATGCATTTGGTTGCTTTCGGTTTCATTGCGATGGTGTGCTGTTGTCAGCATCTTGCTTCATTGCTTCATTTTTCAGTTTTTCAGCCAGCACCTGGTTGTGTCGACACACACATTTCTCCGTAGGACGTGAGCGCTGCCTCCTCCTATTCTTTTCCTCACATCTCACCACTTCCGCAACCACACGTCACCTCCTTCCACCCCCTCCTTCCATCCCCTCCCAACCGCAAACCAACCGCAAACCAGGCAACCCGGGTCTGCCTCTGACCGGGGCGGGTCTGGGCGGAGTCGCGGCGACTGGAGCGAAGACGACGACGATCGACTGCGCGATCGCCTCAACCGCTCCCAGCGCTCCGACTACTTCAACAACTCGTCCTCCTCCGTCCTCTCAAAGGTCTCGCGCAGGGAGCAAGAGGTGCGTACACACAATTGCTGTTTGCTGCGCGCTGCGCGCTGCGCGCTGTGCGCTTTGCGTGGGTGGTGTACGCTTGTGTGTAATATTGCATGTGGTGCGCGCTTTAACACATGCAATGAGTGCAGTTGCATGACATTTGTTTCTCACCGACCTCGTTGCTACTGTTTGATGTCTGCAGATTGCGCTGAAGCAACAGCAGCGTGTGCAAGCGTAAGTTCTTCAACATAGACTGTGTTTTACCTGCTTGAACACAAGCCAAGTGCACCTGCAGCCATCTTAGGATATTTCCTCATCAATATGTGTGTGTGTTTGTGCAATGCGTATTGGTGTTCATTGCAGATTTGAACACGTTCCCATGACATCCACACGGACCCAACAGCTCCTCAACTCCAGCCGCAACATGGGCGATAGGTGTGTGTGTGTGTGTGTGTGTGTGTGTGTGTGTGTGTGTGTGTGTGTGTGTGTGTGTGTGTGTGTGTGTGTATTTGCAATTTGGATCGTCCCTGACATGATCACCGCAACATGGGGACGCGTGTGTGTAGGTTGGGTCGCCGTCACAAGCGCGTGGAGCCTGGCGGTGTGTCTATTTCGCAACTCGCTCGCCGCCAGAACCAGCGCAAGCAGCGGCCAAACATGGGCGATGACGTGTTCTCAAACTCGCCCGAGTGGTGAACACACAGATTGTGTGTGTGTGTGTGTGTGTGTGTGTGTGTGTGTGTGTGTGTGTGTGTGTGTGTGTGTGTGTGTGTGTGTGTGTGTGTGTGTCAGGGGCGTGGTTTGCAGGCAAACTTCGGCAAGATGCGCAACAGTGGCTGTGTTTGTTGGCCAGAAAATGTCATTATCACGGGGCAGCGCCCAGTTCATTTCATTTCATATTACGCAACGAAGCGAGAGCGGACATGCAGTCCAGACTGCGTGGGGAGCGGGGCAGATGGACGTGACTGAAACAGCACATAAAAGGAAAGCAAACTTGTGCATGGTACTGCTGACATGAAAACGGCAAGGAATTGTTCAAGCACGTGTGAGAGGGATGAGAGCCTGAGTATTAACCATGGCGGTGGTTGATTTTTGCATGTGGGGCAACAGCGCCGTCGTTGTATTTGGAGTGGTGTGCATGGGATGAGTGTGGCTCGTGCCAGCGAGCAAGATACACGTGACGATTCGCAGCTTCACGACATCATCACCATCGCCTCCAGCCACACCACTTGCATTGCTCTCATGTCGCCTCTCAATTGCAGCGCTATGAGGAGGGCGAACGCCGGCTCCGTCGCGACTGGTTCGCATCCAAGTCATCCGTTGACGTATGCGAGCGTAGACCTGATGAAAGCAGTGTGAGCAGGACACAAGCGGAGGAAGTGAGGAGAAAGAGAGGCTTGGTGATTCATTCTTCAAGCTTTGGAATGGTGGCGGCAGGAACACCGTTGAGATAAGAAACACAAAATTCCAACAAACAACAACGGCGGCGGCAGCAACAGCAGCAACAACCGCGCGCAAAGACACACACACACACACGCACACACACGCACACACCGCCTGGTGGACATCCTGGAGGCAGCAGATGCGGCTGGTCGTCGTGGTCGTCGTGGTTGTGGAAGCGCTGCTCGAGCTCTTTTGTGAGCGGCGAAGGCTCAATGCTGCGCAGTGACTTCTCTTTTTCCTCGCCGGCTCCCACCGGCACCTCAAACATCACGCCGTTGCTCCCATTGCGTGCAATCTGCGTTGTGTGTGTAAGTACAAGTGTGATGTGTGTTGTGTGCGTGTGTGTGTGTGTGTGTGTGTGTGTGTGTGTGTGTGTGTGTGTGTGTGTGTAGACGGTTGTTGTGTGTGTGTGTGTGTGTGTGTGTGTGTCTAGAGTCTACCTGCACGCGTGCAAGCGTGTGTGTTCTCTTGTTACACCTACTAGAGAGATAGAGACACGTGGACGGCTCACCGAGCGAATGGGTCGGGTGGGATGACAGGGATGGTGAGGGACTGTTTGACTTTCCGGATATCGGTATGTTTGATGGGCAGTGGTCCTGCATCATGAGTATATGGAAATGGTTTCTGTACTAAGTACTACTTATCCTGTATTATACCGTTCTCACACT